ATGGTCATTGCAATTAGATGCAGTTCCCGGGACCGGCAGTGGGAGAGCGAAAGAGGAAACTCCCAACGATTAGCAGCGCGAGTTTGCAATTAATATGATTCTAAGAAAGCGGACGCGAGCGCCTACTTGCGAAGTATCACGGCGCTTCGGCCGCTGCTGCTTTCACTCGCGAGAAGAAAATCAGCTAAACGATCGCGGCGAGATCCGATGCAGCGAGTTCGACAATAATGATCGCGCGATACACGTATTAGGCGTGTCATTAATTAAGAGCCAGCTTTCGAGACCTATCGCTTTTTGCGCGACGGCGCGATTGCCTGGCACACGCGGACCGGCTGCGAGATAGACAGGAAATTAACTTGGCGTTCTTGAAAATATGATAATCGCGGTCGCTCGAAAAAATTCAAAGAAAAATCAACGTGGACCGGAGTGTGCTAGTAATTAAGGGGACGATTGGAAAATACGGGCGGAACATTATCGAGACTTTTATACGTGAATGGTAAAAAATTCCGGGACGTATGAAAAATGCTAAAATTGACGATTTATTTTTTACTGCGTGCGCGTTAGCGAAAATTGTTCGTTCTGTGTAGCGATTGAAAGATTCGGGAGTAAGATTTATCGATAACATATGAGTATCGAGGAAAAGTGACGTTGTCAGTTCGTGTTCTAACATTTTTGCTCGATCATACGTATGATACGGTAGACGTGAAATGTTGCATTGATGTTACGCGGCTGCATCCGTCTGATGCACTTTGTATCGTCGCGGGATTACGTAACGTCGAGTGCACACAAGTGCGTCTTTTACAGCTCGTATTACGCCTCACGAATACAGACGTTTATTATTTTTGCCACCTATAAATCCGCCGTGGCTTGAGACACTTCACAATGTAGAGCAACCACTTGATACTAGACGTTTCTGCCAACGCAAACAGAAGAAACAGGGACGGTACACCGGCCTATCAGATCTAAGAATATATTCTGCCGTGTATCTTAAGGTGGAGCTGTTACATTTATCAATCTTTCGCAAGTGTGGCGTATCCTTTGCCACGACGATATTCCCGTTTCGTCCCTTTTGTCTTATTGGATATTCGTGTTGAGAAATGAACGATGTATCGCGTCGAGATGTAAAATCAACATTCCGGTTTGTAAAATTTTCGCAAAAAAAAAGAGAGAGGGAGAGAGAGAGAATTTAAACTGTTCCTGCAAATCCACCGTAGTATTTCCATATTCATTTAGCTATCAAATTTGACGGTTATTGCACTCCGTTATTCTCGCGCGTTATCGAATCGGAAATATGGGCGGTGCAATTTTTCGGTATTAATGTTGCAGAAAGCGATTTCTCGGATACGCGCGCTTCACACACCGACGACAGTGTATCTCGTCTAATATTTGCGAAATGGTGAATTATGCGTGCCAATTTGATTGGCAAACAAGGCGCGTCGCTTTTATACAGAGTCGCAAGATGAGCTGCCTAGTTCGTGCGATATTTGCACACCCGCGTGACGTGTGTGTTCCTCTCGTTGCGCGCAACGTGTGGGTTCTCAAACCGATTCTCTCTCTCTCTCTCTCTCTCTCTCTTTCTCTCTTTACGCTACGGTTAATTAACATGAAAAAGAAAAAAAGAGAAAGAACTTCGTTTCTGCAACGTACATACATATACAACGGAACGCAGAAAGGATTGTCCTGAATTTCAAATCAAATTCCGACGAAAGTTTCGTCTCGATAATCGGGCGAGGAATGCCGAATTTACTTGGTAATTAAATAATTCGACGAACCGTTAGCCAGGTCCGAGGGCCTCCTGAAGATCGTCTCGCGTCTTTTTGAAGGGATCGAGGCCGAGGTTAGACCGCGTTCTCTCGCCGGCGTATTTTCAACCCGACCTCCTTTTTCTGTAAGTGACACGTTCGCTTTCTCTCTTGTTATTGTATTTTGCCGCCGCTGGATCTCGATATAGACGCTTGAAAACGGGCGCTCGGAGAAGGTGAACTCCCAGCCAGGTATACTCCGAAATACTCGCTGCCGCGCCGTTCAGATTGAGCGCCTATCCGTGCGTGTCGCACGTGCGTAGACATTCGCTTCGTTCGTGTTATCACGTGACGGCCACGTGCTCTCTGCTACAGTGTTTTACGCACGGCTCGGATTGTCGCTTCGCGAAGCACCCCTCATTTCCTAAGATTGGGTCACGATTACGTGTTACAGTAATGCACGTATGTTTGAATATCGAGACTGTATATCGAGAGTGCTTAGTCATAGACGCGGAATATCGAATTTACAAAGAAAATTACGATTATTGTATTATACGTTTTATTTTATTTTTTCGTATTTTATATTATTTTGCCATTTCCCATGTACTTTATTGTCTTCTCTTCGTGTCTTAAAGGCATTGTACCTGCGGGACATCTCCCGTAAATAAATGAACAATGAAATAAATATTGAAATATCAAGGAATGAATAGTTACGGGACCATTGAATTTCGAACGTTTTGGAGGGTTTTCACGAATTAACTCGGAAGATTTTCCAAGCCCCTCCCCCTTCTCCGGGGAAGAAAACACAAAGATAACGTACATGATGTTTGAGAAGCGCCGGGTGTCCCGTCGATCATTGGCATCGGAGGTTAAACTGATAGAAATGTCGGCTATTTAAATCTCGAGGAATAAATAGTTACGCGTTCATGTATACTCAGCGGTATTTGCGGGCTCTCTATTTGTGAATCATCGTAACAAATCCGCCAAACGCGTCATGTCCCTCGCACTATCACTGTGCCGTCATGCGCGGCACGCGTGATCGGTTAAATCCTGACAAGTCGCTCGTCGTGGAGGATACTTGTCTTCGGGTGTTTCCCCGTCGGCCTTCGTAGTGTTTTTATGCTCGAACACCAATGTCAAAAAGCAACGCTTGCTTCGACTGCTTATTTTTCATAGCACAAC